CGAAACAAGAAGTAGTATGGAATAATAAAAATAGGTTTTAGCGTAGCAACTTTCTTCGGGCAGTGGAGCGGGAAGAGGAACCAATTTCTGGGCCGATGCGGACCGTTTTGTTGAAAATAGCTTTCCTTCAATCTGCATTTTCTTGCTGATTTACCAACTTTCTTAGTGTATGAGAACTTTCTGAGAGACATATTCGTTATATCAGAAATGTTTATAGCAATATTTTCAAAATAATTTAATTTTCATCTAAAGTAAATATAAACAGTTTTTTTTTCATGAGAATTATCAAAACCTTGAAAGACATTGATAGAAATTATATACAATCAAAAAGTAAATTAGTGATATAAAAAACAAAGAACTGCGTCGCAATAAATGATTGGTTGTATGGTAAATTTTACATGTTCGAAGCGTAATTATTTAAACCTTTCCTGTGATACCGTATGTATACTGTACAGCGTCATAATATATCTGTTTGACTTGCGCAGCTATGACAACATTTTTATGTATTTTATTAAAATAAATCCTAAGAATACAATACTCAGTTTTTCATTCAAAATTATAATTACTTTTTCATTTAAATTAATGTCAATACAAAAACCATTAATGAAAATACGCTTGTTAAAAGATTTTAATGTTCAAGAGGCTTTAAGTTATTGATTTTTAATTCCATTAAAGCTTAAAAATCCTTTATTTGAAGTTATTGTTTTTCGCATTCTCAGAAACTATAAGGCGAGCGTCAGTGAGCTTTCTACGGCTCCATATCCATGCAAAAACCATTCATAAAAATACGCTTGTTAAAAGATTTAAATATTCAAGAGGCTTTAAGTTATAGATTTTAAATTCCAGTAAAGCTTAAAAATCCTTTATTTGAATTTATTGTTTTTCGCATTCTCAGAAATTATAAGGCGAGCATCAGTGAACTTTCTACGGCTGAATAAATATAGTAAAAAAAGTATAGCATTAATAAACAAACTGGACCAAAGTGTTCTCAGACTAGAAAGACAATTAAGAGAAATGTTTAAACGTAACCCGCAACTACAAAATACTCTAGCTTACTCGGCCCGATAAACAATACTTATTATTTAACAATTATCTATTATAAGGTTATCAGATTTCTTGAAACTTCAAAGAAGTTTTAACGAAAAATATTAAAAAATCTAAGTGGTACAAAAAGAAACCAAAGCTTAAAGTATAGATATTGCTCATTACAATTTCCAAATGATCTGTCGTTAACCTTATTAATCGGCTGACCAGTTATTGTAGAATTGCATTCCTTTGACATTGTGCGAACACATCTTTTGGGAGCTCCTAAAGAGCGGTTAAAGACATTTACATTGCCTACATCGGCTCATCCTAAAACATCTTTCTACTTCTTCGCTTTCTTCTTCTGTCGCGTAATCGCAGAGTGTGAGACCGTCATTCAACAAAAAGTTAGCAGTAAAATTTCTGATAATAAACTTTAATGACGAGCCCCACTCTTTTCAGGTTATAGACAAGTTTTGTTTTGTATATATTCCGTCCCATACATATTTGAGCTACCTCCGTAGCTCTTTGTTACTCCTATGCAGACATGTACAAACTGTTCGTATTTTCACGTCTGTTATTTCAGTATTGCGATTGAGAACCTTAACTCTTTCCCCACTACATATAGGCCATTACTATTGTCTTACTATTGTGTCTGAAAGCCGGACAGTGAACGAATATAAAGATATAAGAAAATACGAATAAATTTATATGATAGTTATTTATTATTCACGTAAATGAATATAATCTTATAATTCCTAATTAAACAATTCTTTTTCTCTCTTCTGTGGCTCATAAGCAAGGGGTACCAGTTAGTTAATTATAATATTTAAGTGGCAAACTAACGGGCTTTAAAACGAGAATAAGTAACTATTATTTAAGGTTTATAATAATATAAAGACTTACAACGTAACAAGAGTTAATGTAATAATAATTGTCCAGACCGAATTTTGGTCACAACTGAGACTAGCCATCTGCGTAAGACTAGAATAAAGCGCAAGAGTGACTCGATTACATAGTCATAGTCATGATGAACCAACGTGTTTACGTGTTTTCCGAGGCACGGCAGAAAAACACCGCCAACTATCTGATTCCGTGCAACAACTGAACATTTCTTTACAGAAAACTGATTATGGACTGACATGATGAACAGTCACACTTACAATTATACCAACGAGGCAATCTTAGTATTTTAGTTTGTAACTTCATTATGTAACTAAATAAATTTGAACTGTTTTATAATTAAAAGATTCATGATGATATAATAATAATAAAAAATATTGTGAATGCCTTTCTTTTTGATTAAGAGATTACACAACGTAAAATGCAAACCTGACATATAAAATGAAAAGCTTAAACAAACTAACATCGGATTAGCAAGAGCTATCTGTAAAAGGACATACTAAATTTTTTCTCTCGGTCTAAGCAAATTGATCAAGTAAAAGGTTTCGAATTTAGTGACCGAATTTTTAAGTATGACTTTAAACTGTACTTAAGATTTTTTTTAGGTCTAACAATCGTTGAAACATAATATTATAAATATTAAAAAGAATTTAAGGAATTTAACAGCCTTAATATTGCTTACTCAAGTATTGATTATATGTTTACATCTCTTTTTATTATCATTTACTTTACTTTTACTGTCATTTACATTTGAGCTTAGGATTGAAATCTTATATTTGCTCATCACATACAACTCTCATTTAATGTTTATACTAGGAGACCTATAGCACAGTGTAACCAAAGTTGGGTTCCTGTCTTAAACAAAGATCTAAAATGCCTTAGATATTTAAGATAAAAAATAATTTAACTAGAGTATTTGGGAGAAATAAATGTTGTTCTATGTTTCTATGTATGTATTATAATTATATAGAAAACAAGAAGAAATTAAAGTATAAAGTATAATGATTTCGAACTTGCAGCTTCAGAGCCACATAAATATAGTGCAGAACTAGGTATGTTCAGAACATATAATCGCTCAGGGACTGGGCAGTCGCCTTACATTTCACAGTATGCATTGTTAATTGCAGTTCTGGAAGTGTTGGTACCACGTGCTTGTTGGTAGTGCAGGTAACAGACCTGCATGTCTGTTTACCAAAGTCATTTTAAGTTCGCCAACATGACGGGGAGAGCGTGGACGACTCTTCCCTGCTTTTAACTCTCACACTTCAGAGAAAGCTTATTCCTAGCAGAGAGATGTACGTCAGTTGTTACTTTACTTTAATGTAAAAGACATTTACAGAGCACTAAATTATATCATTGCTATTGATGTATGTAACTTTGTTGTAACGAGTATCCTACATTTAGAGGTCAATAAACTGTGACGACCATGGCGCGACTACTTGGCGGCGATGGCGACCCGCGGGCTGTCTTAAAGTCATTAGTTGATCAAAGCACACAATACACAAAAATCAGAATAGTTGATAATATAATTTATTTTAATGGTGTTAACATAAAAATTTCACCAGATCTATATAAATGTTACTTCTTATTACCCTGATAAAATATCAGCCAAGACATTCGTGATCGTATGAGTTTCCGTATAGTCAATAAAAACTTTACTGTGCTATTTTATAGTAACTTTTTCATTAATAATGATGGTATAAATGCCTTTATTTGTGTAAGTTCCCAACAGCGAGCTAAAGTATTCCCACAGGTAGGCAAGATCCCTAACACGTAATACGGCGCTGCACTCGTTTGCGTAATAATGTGTACAAGAAGGAGCGCAATTCTGTTAAAAACCTTCTAAGCTAAATATTTTGTAAGCAGCGTTTATTTAATATGATAAGTGTTGGACTCCTTCCTTGTGGCCAGCACTAAGAAAACACACACATAAACATACATACAAGTAATAAAACATGTACTTGGCAAGAACGGGAGACCCTTTTAAACGGAAACGAGGTATTATAACTCAGTTCTCAGGGGTTAAAACGCATCTGCATTTTGGTTCTTAATCTAGGATCTTAATCTAGATGTAAATGTGTGTGGGCCCCAGCATCCACTTACCATCAGGTGGACTGTGTGCTCGTTTTTCACCCTTATTCTATAAAAAACGAGATGACTATAGCGTCATCTATCGGAGGTCCCAAGATTTTCCGGACATTTCCTTAGATTACCGCTTATAGAAGTCCGTCGCATCGACGGGGTGATAAATTCACGAGGTGATATAAAGTAACATTATTTTATGTTTTATAATTCTTATTTTATGTTTTTTTTGTGATAAAAAATATTGTATAAACTACTGAAAATAGTTTTACATACATCTATAGAATTAATAGAACAATACAGTAGGTACAGTAAGTCATACTATACATTATTACATACTTACGAGGTTCTTCGTGCTGATGGACGAGGCTTCGGTTAAGGTCTAGATCGCATTTACGAACGCATGTTGTGAATGAAGCAAGCACCACCCAGTTATCCAACTGAGTAAGACGGAGCGTGCTGATAGACGAAGGTACTCGGAACACTGGTATCCTTATAATCTCGAGCATACTTGAATAGGCAAATATGGACTTAAAATGTCGGTGATGTGAAGTTATGTTTTTAAAATAATATGATAAATGTAAGTATTTCTGAAATTCAAATGTTTATTTACGGAAGCGCTTGAATTTATTCATTTATTGTTTCGTTTATATGCATATTAATTTGACAGCGACTCGTCTAAAGCTGGCTCTGTTCTTTGGCTAGCCGTCTTTTGTCTTATTTTATTATGCCATTATTCGGCCCCGGCTATAAAGACTTGCGAGACGGTATGTCTGCCTGTTCCCGGTTTTCTCGCCCTTGTTTATCTGGCTGGGGTAGTTAGCGCGGCGGAGTGGCGCCCCGCGGCAGTGCCTCCGCAGCCTGCCCAGCGATGGCACGCTTGTCTGCTTCCTTCGCGACTTCACACGCACGCGCCCGCGTCATACAATATAGGTGAATTACGCGCCCAAATAACATTGCACTCCATCAACTTTGTATGCGACCGCGATAAAATGACTCTTTTTATACATTTATATTGTGTGATATGGATAGCGTTATTGACGGCCTGCTGCAGTACGACAGGTGAGTGCAGAATGCAATTATCAATTTTATTGAGTCTGACGGTAAATATTATTATTGTTAACAACTTCAAATTTTTTTGGTACAACCGTATCCGCAACCTTTGAATATTATTTTATTTTATCATCGAATAATATTTAAATTAGGTAGGTATAAATTTTAGTAAATAATTTGTATGTTTTTATTTTTGAAGACAATATAAAGACTTATTTTAACTTTAACATATTATATTATATCATTTATAAGAGTTTCAATTATATAGTTATCTATGAATTGTTTTTAGTTTCTAAAATAAGAACAAAACGAATTTTGCTTATAAGTAATGTAAGACTACTAAGAGAAAAATTCATTCAGGGGGTTGTAGATAAGATGTTCCCATATTTCTGAAACATAACTCAGTTAACAAGGGGAAGAATCACAAACAAAACGGACAGGGGTCGGCTCAGTCAGTGACTCATCTACGGATATCCGGTGGCATCTCAGTATACGAAGACAGTTATGGATGTCTTCCATTACGGTATTAAATACAATTTCAATTAATCTGACTTGATGAATGCTGTGTACAATCAGTTATTTACTAATAAAGTTATTATTTTTATAGCTAAATGAAATTATAAAAAGTAAAAATGAGGTTTGCGGTTGGTGATGAAGAAGTTCTTAATCCATAACCATATGTTTAAACAATTAAACATCTTTCTTTCTACAACTATGTTTTGAAAGACTTGATAAGAAAGTAATAGGTATATCAATTTAGCGAATAGCAAGGCCCTTTTTACTGGAAATGAGGTTATTCCATCTTAGACCTCACGGATGACATCGCATCTACATTTTGATTTGTAATAGAGGATAGATGTAGATGTCTATAGGCCGCAGCAACCACTTACCATCAGGTGGACTGTGTGCTCGTTTGTCACCCTTATCCTTTAAAAAAAAGCAAACTAAATAAATACAATGCCTTGATGCATTTTTATAGAGCAGAATGCAACGTGTTTAACGCGAGATATTTAGTAGGTGTAAAACAAGCCGTTTATTTCTGTATCTATTATTTTAGTTTAAGTACTGTTAAAAAGCTTTTTTTGTTTTTGAATAATATACTAAAATTATATCAATAAACTAAATACAAAAAAAATCTAAATAAACTATATAAATTCAACTAGTCAAATGAAATTAAAAGTCCACCTTCAATTACTGAGCTGGTTTATGCAGGGATATGACCGCCGCGTACCCAGATGTTATTTAATTGTACTAAATAACAAGTATTCATTTCTTTTATAATTTATCTAAGCACTTCTTCTTTTTTTACATAGTTTAAGTGTGTCAAACGAGCACACAGTCCACCTGATGGTAAGTAGTTACTGTGGCCCATATACATCTACATCTATCCTTGACTACTAATCCAAATGCAGATGAGTTGTCACCAGTCAGGATTTAGATGGAATGCTTAGTTTCCAGTAAAAAGGGTCTACGTTTCTCTAGACTCACCATACGAAACACAGCATCGTTAAGCTGCTATTTCACACTGGTATTCTTGACCCATTCGTGCTACAACTATACTATTATATTAATATAGCTGCATCATAGCTCTACCACATATAAATGTTATAGGAAAAGTTTCACGTATTTTATTAGAGGCTCCCGAGGCTAATTTAGACTGTCATTTTCCTGAATTAATTTTTAAGGACTGGATGCACGACAGATATGATGGTTACTTGTATAGAGATTCCAAAAAAGTTCCACAACTGTTATTTAAGTATTGTAAGCTCACACGCCAGTCACCCAGACGGGTAGGTAACATTTTTACTTGACTTTCATTGATTAGGATCGTAATTAATGAAAGTCAAGTAACACAACTTTGCCCTTTATTTCATATCTATTATATATACGCATTTATGCTCTTTGGTTGTGAGTAGATTTAATTTAAGCCAAATGAAGCTTCAATATGTGCATGCATGTCTGATAAATGCAAATATTTTGCATTTATCAGACATGCAGATTTCCTCACAACGATGTCTTTGACCACCATGCACTTATCACTTAGTGTTACCTACATGTTAAAACATTTAATAATGTGTCCAAATTTCTAGGTGACTTAAGAAATTTTAAAATAAATAATTATTACGGAAGTAACATTCGACATTTTTTTCCTTATAAATATGGAAAGCTACAAAAATGGTTTTCTTCAAAATCTAATGAAACCTCAAGTTACATCAAGGCGCATCGATTGGCAGAACGAATTTGATTGCGTCATCCGTTTCTGACAATTTCAAGAAGAGATATTTTTCCATGTACTCGTACGTTTTAGATTTCGTGCAAATTTTATACAATTTGAGTTGTCAGTTAAATTACTTAAGTTAACTTATCATTGTTTTCAAATTATCACATAATATGTGTTATCATAATAGCTATGTTAAAGATTAATGAATTTAAAGTATTTTTGTACTCCCGCTGCAGTAAGCTGTATTAAAAGCTATTATACATGTGATGCTAGATCTTCTTATCGCCTTCAGTGATTGAAGGAAATATTTTTTCAGGTTTATCGAACCTATGTATATCCTTATAATATTTTTAAAATGTTAAACTAATAAGGTATTCTTATCGACATATATTATTTAATTATATAAATAATGATAATTATTATTTATATATACAGTAAATACAGCAATATTTAATACTCTTTGTGCTTTAATCTTACTGCAGCGAACTTATTTTTCTTTAGCTTTCGTATCTACTTATTCAACCAAGACGTTTTCTTTGATTATTTTCCTTTCTAGAACTACTCACTTCAAAATGATGACGCCGTATCCGCAAGATTAAATTTGGTCGACTTTATTACTTCTGTTACATTTGAGGAACGTTAAACTGATGTTCCTTTATTTTCTAAATATACCCGAACCGAGAAATGAAATAAGAATCTCTTTTTTATATGAAAGAGTGCAAACAAGCATGCGGCTTACCTGATAGTAAGTGACTACCGCCACCCACGAACAACTGCAACACCAGGGGAATTGCAAATGTATTGCCGGCCTTTTAAAAATAAAAGCCTCTTGTCTTGAAGGTCCCTAAATAAAAAGGTAGGCTCTTTTCTTGAAAGTCCCTAAGTCATATCGGTCTGGAAAAATCGCTGGTGGTAGTCGATTCCATAAGAAAGTTGTGGAAGGAAGAAATTTTCTTGTAAATCGCACAGTGGTGGACCGCCAATCATCCAGGCGGTATGGATGGTCGAGTTTTGTCGCAATGTGCGATGGTGGAATTGAGCGGCTGGAAACAATTCCTCTGAGTACTCCCCGTATTAGAAACGATAGAGTACTCAAAGAGGTGCAACATTTCTTTGCAGCGCCAGTGAATCAAGCCGATTAGAAAGAGCTCGGTCGCCGACGAATCAATGTACGCTGCGCTTGATCCGATCAGATGGAAAGAGCTGGTACTGGGGAGGGCTCGCTGGTACTGGGGAGGGCACAGAGACGGTAACAGTATTCCATGTGAGACAGAACCTTCGCCCTGTAAAGTTGTAAGTGGTGTGCTGTCATGAAATACTGTCCCGCTCTGCTGAGCACGCCAAGCGTTTTAGAGACCACTTTGGCTTTATCTTCCAAGTAACCACGAAACTGCACATCACTCTATATGTCGACTCCGAGGATTTCGAATACTGGCTGAGGCAACAAGACGACTGACCTGAAATAGAGGAGTTACGAGAAAAGTGTTATATTTAGCAGTAAACGCGCAAGCTTGTGTCTTCTGGGGATTGAACTGGACTAGATTAGTCACTCCCAATCCAACACTTTGTTCTACAAAGTCTCGACTTCAAACACAAGTTTGTTTCAGTACCCGATGACGTTTTTCAGAGAAATATTGTCATGGCCAGTATATAAAGCATCACCAGTGCTGTCGTCCGCATAGCTTGTAATCGGAGCATGCACCGTCAACTACGACTTTTATGCTCCGATTTGCAAGAAAGCTAGTGATCCAGTTGCATAATTTCTCGGGAAGCCCATATGAAGGGAGCTTCGATAGAAGCGCTTTGTGCTAAACCCAATCGAAGGCCTTCGCTATGTGCAAACTGACAGCCAAAGCTTCCCCCTTGGACTAGACCGCTTGCGCCCATCGTTGTTTTAAGTAAAAAAGAAGATAACTAGCTGAGCGACCCCGACGGAAAGCGTACTGTTGGTCACTAATCATGCATGAGCATGAGCTGTCAGTTAATTATGGTCCCCATTATTTTCGAGAACAAGGAGGTGATGGCGATAAGCCTGTAGTTGGACGGATCAGAGCGGTTACCTTTTTTAGGGATTGGGTGCTCGAAAGATGTCTTCAATGAATTTGGGTCTTCGCCTAGGGAGTAGAAGTACCGGAAAAGACACATTAAAACCGGTGTTAACTCTTGAGCACACGTCCTAAGCACAATTGGGGGGATTCCATCAGGCCCACTCGACTTGAGGATGTCCAGGGAGAGGAGTTTTTTAAATACTAAGCACTGTATAAATCGCACATCAGGCATAAATTAGTAGTGGTATGTTCCCCCGTCATCAAAAGTAAAGTTGGACGCAAAAAGAAGCCTAAATGGTCGGTTTTCTCTTTTGCTATGTGGATCAGTGAGTCATCTTCCCTGTACAGAGATAGAAGTGATAGTTTACAAAACTTCCTTTGGACATCCTTGGCGAGAGACCAGAATGCACGGGTTCCCGAAGGAAGGCGAACTAGTTTCTCGCCAATTCTGCCTATGTGCTCTGACTTTGCCTTGGCAATAACTGTTTTGAAGGACCTGGAGGTGAAGTTATACTTCTTTTTAAGGACGTTGGTGTTTACATCCCGAGCCGCCGAAGCGTTAGCCAAGACCTGATAACACTCCTGCTTACTATATAATACAGTTTTGCAGTAGCGATCAAACCAAGGCTGATCTGCCAATGATGGGTACCACAGATGATGAAATAAATAGTCCCCCCCGTAACCATGAGTGCTGTATAGCACCCGAACGTCAGGAATTAAAAAGTTAACTTAAACGCGAT